CAAGCGACTGTCCCAGCGATAAACGTGGGAAACGTATCACAGTGTTTCTCGGAAACCATAAAATTCACTTCCACTGATGACGACGCAATGAATCTCCTTCATACGAGTGACCTTAAGTGGTTCAGGCGTGCGCAGCTTCCAGATGGCAGCAAATCGAAGGTCAACCTCGAATCAAAGGTGAACATGTGTGTAATTAATCTGAGATGCAGTTTTTCCAGAGCATATCCCTGCTTTTCGTTTCGTCACAATGGTCCTTCCGTATATACGTCGTTCTGTATATGCGTAACCATATCCGTTCACTCCTGCACAGGTGTGTTTGCGCTCATGTGGGCTGTGCTCTGCTGTTCCATTCAACCATAACCTCGCAGTCAAATCACTGAGAATTGTATGACGAACTAGTTTAAAGACGAGTTTAAAGAGGAATTTCGCTCTAGTGCTACCAAAAAACCTCGGCAGAATAACAAATACCGTTAATACCTCATGGCCTTCATTGCAATCGAAAGTGGTAATGCGACTATTGGGCGAAAATACTGGATGCAACACCGTTTTACGATCTTCTCGAGATATTTGTTCCCAACCGGCCCTGCAGCCTCCGATAGTTCGTCAGGGTGAGACCAGTAATGAACATCTGCCTGATTATTCGTTGTCGTGTAGGTAAGCTGTGGAATTTCCATATCTGTGCCGTCTTCACATGAATGTTCGTTTAATTTTCAGTATTTGTGGTTCGCGTGAAGGTAGTTTTCCTTCTCGAACAGTCTTGTTTGTTTATGTCTGCACCATCGCTTTCATCTACTGCTGAACATATACATATTGGTATGCAAAACATCGATAATTCGTAGCACCTAACGTGACGCCGACAAGGTGAACGGTAGTGTCGTCTAAGCTGCAAAATAGAAGTGCTGCTGTGTTTTACTCAATACGAACGCTTCGGGCAAGGGAGTGATTTTATGGGTGGTGAATAGCTTCTCACGTGCACAGTAGACAAAGTAGTTCCAGTTCGATAATACGTATATCGCTCCAGAGAAATTCGCCTGGGAAATTATCCCACAAATGATTTTCTTATTTCGTTCCTCGTTATCAGTGTTCATCAGGTCTCATTCGTGCTTCAGGTCTGGTGAAAGCAACAAGTAGAAAAATCTAGAAGTTAATACCTTAGCGTCTCGCCTGCGATTCTTTTTCGGTTATGTATATGATTTGATGGGAAAAAGAAGAAAAAATAAGAAAGCGTCTTCACTTTCTGCAACTCGAATTTTAGAGTAGCAGATGTTGTTATATGATTCAGAAGCTCCTTCATAATTCACTGGACTTCTGGACGATGTAATTTGACCCTAAGAGCTCTGCAGATGCCACAGAACGAATGTAGCTGGTTTCTGGAATTTCTCCTTTGCACTGGTTCTCCAGCACTAAAAGTGTCTTTTCTCTGAACAACAGTTTTAGTGGAACGTTAGCAGTAGAATGCTTTTAAGCTATCCGTGCTATTAACATTTACAGCAGCCTAATTGTAGGCCATGTAAAAGCTGCTGTCCCTTTCGTTGAAGGAAGTTCACTTCGTATAGAAGGATTCCTCGAGTGCTCGATGGAATGTGTTTAAATAAATAACTATTCATAGACTAGTTGACAACCGGTAGATTTCCCCAGGTATCTAATTTTAGCATAATTTATTTTTGCTTCCCAAGGGTTTTGCTCCACTGCTGCGTTATATTTCGATATCAGAATGAAAACAGCGAGTAGCAGTGGATTGGTGCTCATGTCGTTATCTTGAAGCACTTTGTATCTTTATAAAACGCTTTTATTTATCTGGATATCATAAGATTGATGAACGCCATAAGCAAAAATTCGAGAGTGTTCGTTGGCAAATTTATGTAAAATGTTTATGGGCTTTTGACTGACGTATGCGGAGGTTCGGAATGTATTATACGTCGTCGGTGATACAATTATTCAAATCTGAGTCAAAGCCAGCGACCTCTCGCATCGATCGAAACCACATGGTCCGGCAGGATTATCTGTATTGCTACCGGATACCATTAAAATTCTATATGCTCCTGAATGGCGTCAATCTGAAATATATAGTGGATTGCAAAATACAAATGGAAAACATTCGCTGCCTCTTCTTCTCGTAACTCACCCATTCATCAGAGGAAAAATGGCCCAAAAATCATACACAAACTCAAGACGTTTTATATAGGGGGAGATACCTTAATCTTTATATAAGTCTGCGTTATATTCATGAACTATTCGGAATTCTCGAAGATCTAGCGAATACGGAATAAAGGGCAGAATAGAAAACTAGCGGTCGATTGGATTAGTGTCTCTTCAAGAGTTTGTTTCGAGAAGTTCATAAAAACCTTTTATACTTCGATATCGTTTCAGACAGATACGAAATACTTTCAGCTCCCTAGACGGTCTCCTTCACCCTTATTCAAATGTGCTCAGCGTCAACTCTCGTTCACATTCCATCTTCGTATATTACCATGGTTCGATCGCAAATTCTCGCCCTCAATAGATATGTTTACCCACCGGGGTGCCGCTATTATTATGAGTTACCGTAATAATGATGGAGTACAATCGAAATAACCTTGATCTGCATCCCTTAGACTTCCTCAATCGTCACTAGTTCGGCAGAAATTCTGCACATTGACGACCTCACATATACCGACCCGACCTAAATGTGGTCATGCTGCTGCTTAAACAAATTCCCATCCTCCGTTAGAGCAACACAAAAGACAGTTCTAACTACCGAATTTCTATTAACCTCGGCATTGATCAGATAATTCTCTATATTCTTGAGCAAGTACGAGATTCTACTTTATTTTTTATTACGGTGAAACTGACGTTTCGGTAGATTTCGGCTTCTTCGGAGGTTGAAAATGTCAAGTTGATTACAGTCTACCCAGCTAACCGCCACGAAAGCCAAACGTAGGAAAAACTAAACCAAGAGTTCAATCGCATTGACAGCAGCATAACTTCTTCATACACTCATCGCTTTCTATAACTCTTCCAAATCCAACAAACAACAGCAATAAAGTAACACCTCGTCTTTGCTTAGCAGAAATATACGGAAGATAATGTTGTCTTTCGGTTACTTCTCGTCTCCGCATACATTTCTTCTCTTTTGTTGTCTTAACTTTAGAAAAAAAATTGCCGTCACGTGCTATTATCTCTTTGTTCAATCACACATTAATCACCAAAGAACCTTTAAGAGGGTAGTTTTTACACTAATCTCTACTTCTTGCGGATAAACATGGAATAGATGGATGACTCCGTTGCTCTATCTTCATAGATCTCATCCATGCGACCAATCAATCCTAAGCAAATTAGTGGCGGACGCCCCTACCTATACTGCGATGGTTTGATTTTTACCTTCCGTATACACATAAGCGTTCATGGCCGTAGAATCAGCAAAAGCCCTGCAATCAAGTGACTAAGAACTCCATAAACAGCGATTTATGGTACTTTCTAGAAGTGTGCAACATGTGCACTTCCAGAGAGAGCGAGATCCCATCGGACGTGTAACCAGGTAATAGATGCAAGTGCTTAACGAGTTGCTCTCGTACTAAAAAACTAAGGATGAAAGTCTTCATACTGAAATGAAATATTTTTACTGTGTTTTGGACAAGTGCGAACTTCTGGGCAGCTTGAAGCACACCTCGAAAACGAGCGAAGATTTCACTAATGCACTCGTCTATTTCATTCGATGGCTAACAAAATTGTGGGTGGTATAAGTGATTTTTCTAACCAGAGCCTTTCTTCAAATTTCCCAGTCAAATTCATTATGTTCTTGCTATCTCTTGAAAGTGCATAGGACCCAAATGCCGACTTGTTATGAACGTCGTCTGCCAATTGACTCTCCGTCAGGCCACCGATATCAGTTTTCAGGGGCACTAGGCCTACCACAGCCGTCACCTAATGCCCTGCAGTTGTCACCGATGAGGGGGCATTCGGACGGACACATTTTCGTGGTGCCGGGTCGTCGATGCCAATTTTGCGGCCTGCCAGGGTGAGTCCAGGGGGCGTGGCCAGGCGGCCAACAACAACCGCACGGCGATCCAGTAAACAACGTGCACCCATTGCTGCCATCTGTTCCTGCCAATCACACACTATGATCTACTCCAGACAATTCTTTGTCTCCTTGTTCCTGATGCTCGACCTAGAATTGATTACTCGGAAAAGCCAGACTATCGCCGACCCGAGTCCTGTTATTCACATTGTATTCATGCTTAAACGCTCGTTGACTGTAATTCCAGTTCATCGCTTTCAAGTTCTCTAAGCGCATCAACCTTCGAAACCTAAAGTAATGCTTCGTACTCAGAAGTCTTCTGTTATTCCTTGCTTTTCTGTCATTTTAACTACGGGCAATATACTGTTCTATTCTAAGCTGATTGCTGCTGACACTACTGCTTATGAACCTTCGAACGACAAGATAAACTTATCGCCAGAAGATCCTCAGCCATATGGGAGATTCTATCACCTTCAATCATAAAATATTACATTACGTCGCTAGGAAAGGGCAAGCTGATTTGCTCCATTATTTCAGAATCCCTATTCAATTGCAGTAATCTCATGCTCTTCATCTGTTGTCTTTCTGCGAAAACTTAGCCACTTGTCGTTTCATTGATTCGTAAGGAAATTCCTTGATTGTAAATCCTGTCTTGGAGATTGCCTGGTTTTTTAGATATGGAAAAGATTCGTTCGAAGGTGCACATCAAAAGCGAACTCGGACGTGCGTTGATCGCCGAGTTCATGGGCACAGCACTGTTGTTGGTGAGTGTCAGACAGGTTGAATTCGCTTCTACTAAACTACACGTTGCACTTTCTTCTTTTGCCATAACAATTCAATCGACATTGCATCTGCCAGTGTGTTTCGTACGTTCCAATGCATATCAATGATATGCCAATGGATGTTTACTCTCCATGATAATATGGCAATTCGCCCGTCCCTGGAACATTAATGGCAAGCCTACATGCGAGAACGCGGCCTCTAAATTTGCACTATATTTCCAATGACCGTGTTATATCAAGTATTCGTGACCCGTCAGAGCGCCTCAATGACTGCGAATGGCCCATCATTATCCGGTCAGCAGATCCCCATGGGAACCAGAAAGTGGTGGATAGAACAGAGCTGCAAAGTATCTGTTATAACAGCACACCATCTACCAAAACAGCAGCTTCGAACGAAATCAACATACGAAGGTTGCTCCACTATCTCAATCCATCTATCTTTTCAGTTGATTGGCAACTGTGTTGTGGCTCAAAGTATGTTGCCTCGTCCAAAATTGAACGAAATGATAGGAGTCAATGTAGGATTTGGGTTGGCCATCGCTTTCGGTGTCGCTATATCGGCCAAGATATCAGGTGGGCTCAAAGAGTAAAATGTACTGCTACTGCCGAAAATTTCCTTTAACAACTATGGGAAGTCTAGCGCTGCTCATTTTCTTTGTATTCATATCGCTCAGGATTATGTTCTTCTAGAGAAACTAACCAATATTTGACTAAGATCTGACCTCTGAACTTATTCGTCATCATCGCCAATACCACATAATGTTCATACGATTTTTTCTCGAACCCTTAAACCTAGACAAGGTGTATATAAATTTAGTCTTCTAGGGTTGAAATTGTCACAATTACAATGACATTATTAGGAGCTTTATTGTTTCTCACTTCCTAACAGTTATCTTTGATAACCCTAATTCTTTGTTACTCCCTCTTGACCGCATTCGTCATATCCAAACTATACATAGACAAGGTGTATCTAGGAATGGACGAATGCTATTCAGAAACAGTGCAAACTTTCTCGTGCATTCCCTTTTGAAGATCCTTTCAGCCACAGTGCTCAGTATAGTCGTATCATGTTGTGAAGTGGTTGATTTCACATCGATCATGTTTGAAGGTCAGCAGTACATCTCATACATTACAGGAGGTCACATCAATCCTGCCGTGTCGCTGATGTTCGTCAGTTTCCGTCAGCTGGCGCCCGTGCGCTTTGTGCTCTACGCCCTTGTTCAAACTGCTGGTGCTTTTGTTGGCGCAGCTCTTACCTACGCTCTTTATCACGGTAAACAGCAATCTTTAGGAGTTGTGTTAGGTTCAAGTCTATCAAATGGTCTGGTGTCATAGATTTATTATAGATGACCAAATGAGCTCATAGAAAGGTGATGAACAGGATAGATTAGGGCATAAAGATCTCATCGGGTATGAAAGTCGGCCACAAAAGTGTTTTACACCCTATAGAGCTTATGAATGTCGCCTTAGGTTGCCCTCATACCAATTAGAGAACACATGGGCACTTTATCGAGTACTCGACAAAAGCGAACAGCTGTTCGTCGCGGCACGCTCCGAAGGAAGTCAGCGACCCATGATTAATCTCGTACTATTGTAGACTTAAATAAACACGCACGCTAAGGCTCTTCAACAATGGTAGAATTTTCGGTGTACATTCAAGCAGACTTAGAAATGTTTCTTCAGAAGCTATTAACGCATTCGACGGAGGAGTTCGAACTGTTGTTGGAGCTAAAGCCACTGCAGAAATCTTCGCTTCGTATCCGGCTGCTCATCTGGGACTTCTTAACGGTCTAGTCGATCAGGTTCTGCAACAGCTTTTGTCCATAAAATCATCGAAATCGAATTTAATTGTTCTTTTAGTGCACGATTTCATTTAATTAATTAGGTTTGTTGTATTTGTCATGTTGTTGAAGCAATAATGGGCCCTGAAGAAACTGAAGAAACAAGGGAAGTAACTGACCATTCACGCTCACCTGCCTACATACCGCTTTCGTCTGAAGAGATAACTCGAAGCTCAAATCTACGAAGACAGATTTAAAGACCTGCCTACATCTGAAACATAATGCTGAGGGTAGCAGACTAGAAGGAGCAGTATGTTCTGAGAAAAAATCGGAACCGTTGATGCTTTCTTTTTCACAGTGGCTGAATTTTCAGAGATCTCTCATTTATCAAAACTATTGACTGCCTTCCTGACTCACAGCTAACTTTGTCAAACACTGGCGTTTCGTTTTTATTGTTATTGTTTTTTTTCGTTAAAAATAGCTTCTCATCTGTCGCATGCTTTATGATTTCTGAAAATTATAATTGAAATTGTGGGGAAGCATACGAGAGGGCTCAACAACTGCACAATAAACAGCACAGGTCAGGGGCATCAATTCAGCGAAGACGTTTCCTTAGCAACTAATATGCAATCAGAACGTTGTGTCTGATTATACAAGTGCAAATAGGCTAGCCACAACAGCAGTCATATGGTTAAGCTATAAACACGCTATCTGACGCATAACGACATAGACTATAAGGCGAAATGTCCTTGAAGACCCCAATAAAACTATTGCTCTCGGTTCCATCGGATTTTTACTGTTTCAGGTCATTGGCACGGCTGTATTCTGTTTTCTAATCGCTCATGTTACTGACAAAAAGAACTCGTACCCGACATGGCTTCAGCCTCTCCTCGTAAGTCTTTCCATTCTAGCATAATGTTTTCGATTTGTTTGAATCAGCAACTTGAACTTAGGTCGGATTGTCGTTCGTGGCTGTCGGTGCAGCTTTCGGTTACAACTGCGGTTATCCGTGTAATCCAGCCAGGGACTTTGGACCACGACTCTTCACGTTTGTGATCGGATACGGTGGAGAGGTTTTCTCGTGGGTCTTATATACAAGCATATAATCAAATAAAAAGTAACACGATATAAGAGTAGAAGGAATAAAGCTCTTGGCGTTGATCAATCTCTGATGGATGCGCCGTGGATTCGATTTCATTAAGCATCGTTGGAGATGACTGAATTCAATATCTGACCTTTACAATGACTCGTGGTGTCATACCAATGTATGAAGCCAGTGCTATCCTCCAGCGCAAGTCTGGTACCAATTTGCTGACCCATGAGGGACGGAAGGCTTGGTGAGTTTGGGGCTCAGGGATGCACCATACAAGAAATTACACCTATTCATAACGCTATAATCGGTTCTTTAAAATATTTTTAAGAAAATGAGTACAGAGATTTTTTTTGGAACCTACTTTTAGTCACAACATAACCTACAACGACAGTTGTTGGACAGAGCTAATAAGGTAGGAGAGCCTCTGTAGGAAACGAGCAAGTTTCCATCACGAAATAACGTCACTTTTTTTTGTTCATTTTAAAGCCTAACTCAGTTGTTCTAAAAATTTTTTTAACATACGCATACGTGCATACCGCCAGACAAAGCAGTGAAGGAAATGAATTTGCGGCTCAAAAAATCAGAATTCTATCGTGAGGGAATATGAAGACTGAAGTGCTTTTGACAAGGACCGCTGGATCCTGGTGGTTTATACTTCAATCGGTGAAACTAACTGTGAGTCGAGATGTGTTCGTTGGAAGTCAAGAAGCTGATTAATTTCCTGGCACTTAGGCGTTGAAATTAACTTATATTAACATTTTGTATGTTAATGGAAGCAGCGAGTACACAGCCTCGTTACTATTTAGATATTGTTGTAAGATTGTGCAATCATATGATAACTGCTTCTGTAGATATTTCCAATGCATAATTTCAAACCAGATATGCGGCACAATCACATGTCCAGCGATGGCGGAAAAACGTATTTCGACGTGTGAAGTGGGCCGTTAATCTGGTGATTTTAATGATTTGAGTGATGTGGTAGATGACAGGATGATTGTCAGGATGGATCGGATGATTACCGACCGCTAATAGCATGAGTGAAAGAGATCCGATTTCTCATAATGGGAAAGAACACGGGAAATGTTGTCATGAGAATCAGATTTATGTGTCCAGCATATTTTTCAATAACTTCCTCTCTTTCTACCAAATTCTCTTCAAGGCCTTGGATTATCAGCCAGGTGTGGAAATTGAGTGAACTACGGAGTGGAGAAGTTTTCTGGAAGTCGAGATTAACCTTAATGATGTTATCGAGTAGCAGAACGTCAGAACTCCGAGCTCGCGTACTTTTGTTTGGAGCGGATCTACAGAGTCTTTAAATAGAAATCAGAAATTTAGTGTTTTAACAAATGAATAGATGTATAATGTAGTTGGATTCAGTTGGTGAGAAAAAGTGGTTTCCAAAGGTTATTGATCGCTTTTTCATCACCTATAGCGAAAAATGCCTTAACTCAATGCTTTACCTAGTTCTGTGTAATATTTTGATTCCATGGGTTGTTTTGAGGAAATCCGCAGATCATTTCGGATTCTGAAAGACAGTGGATAACTAGAAATATTAGCAAACTGAGCTGCATCGGCTAGTGATGTCTTAGTGTGCTATCATATGCTATCGCATACTTAGTACCACTCGGAAACGGAAATCGTATCTTCTTCAGAAGTGGATTCTAAAACAGCCATTGCTTAAAAGAATAAAAAAAATAAAGTGATTGACTTTGATTAATCTTTATCAAACGTCATAGAGAGTTTTGCAAATTTGGCTCATACAAGCGCTTTAGCTCTCTTGCTGTTGTCTTTTTATCTTCCAAACAAATCGGATACAAGTTTGTCTACCCTAGTGTGAAAGAGGGCCTCGTTTGTCCAGGGTGCGGAACTGAACCAACGATCACGTGTGTATTATAGGGCACCTCTATATATATGTGCTGTACATACCTTTACTTGTCTAGAATTTGCGCAGTACACTATGGATTATCATTTGTCATGGATTTCCACTTTTGAAAAGCCACATTACAGGGAATTTCGTCATCGTTGACATCCTGACACGTCGAAATTTGTTTCATCCATTTATAATTTTAGAATAATCCAGGGAAGTCGATTATCAGTTTTCAGATACAAATCATGGTTCTGGGTTCCAATCGTCGGTCCATTTATTGGAGCACTGATCGGAGCTTGGCTGTACCAGTTAGCCATCGGCTTCCATACTCCACATGACGTGGAGGAGAAATATGTTGTATTGACCGGAAATCAAGAACTCAAGCCACTCACAACAAAAGAGTAAGTTCTTCTGGTAAAGGTAATGCCTTGTAAAAGAGTCCGATCGACAGGAGAAGATCTGTTTTGTGTTACTTTTTAACTACTAAATCAGTATGCATTACTAAGCAGGAAACAGTTCCAAAATTTCACTTACCATAGATCTGCATGTCCCTTTCGGACTTTTCAGTTTCCGTTTAATTTGTTTTTTCAGTGGTGAAGAAGCTTAAATGATTATTGTGATCATCGCTCGCTATCCGCCGATTCCGACATAACCATCGCTATCGTTCATATATAGCCTTCCGCTGCACACATCTCGGAATTTCTTCAAAACATGTTACCATTACATCGAAGAACACTACGCTGCCTCTAACGTGAAATACCTCTTCTTTTTACTTCCATTCATCGGTCTTGTTTCCTATTTTTTTACTAGACATAAGTCAACTGTGCTTCAATAAACACTCCTACGTGCATTGCACTGTTCGTGGACCTTCTTAGTTCTCTCTAGATAGCATGGCACATGAAGACCAAGCGCATGCAGCGCTTTCTAAAACTAGTCTCTAAAAAAACTAAAAACTAAAAAAACTAGAAAAAACCAAAAAAAAAAACTAAAAAAAAAACTCCTTTCTAAAAACTAAAACCTCGGGAACTAATTAAGTGAACGAATCTTTTGAAATTAGAGGGAATCTTGATAACATCGATAACTTCGTTTTATAAAGGTCTTCAATGTCTTCAGCATTGTGGAATCTTCACATTCCACGTGATTCGTTTTCCCCACTTACAAAGAATGGCAGCAGTCTTATGAATACATAGAGACTACTTTTAACTGATGTCAGAGTCTAAATGTTAACACGAGGACGATGGGGTTTGCCTCTATGAGTGATTTGCTTATCAATACGTCAATTCTTGCTTCTGGAAAATATTTCCGAGCCGGACATTTATCAATTTGACATTCAGGATTTTGCGCATGCACGAATTTTTGTATGAATTTCCAGGAACACTGCAGCATACTACCATGCGTGACGTCTAATCCATCCAAGTTTTGTGAACCATGCAAAGCTTTATTAGTTCTAACTATAGGAAGCACAAAGCAATTTGAAGTTTGATTGAGCCATGGAAAGGAGGTTTTTCAAATTATTCTTCGGGTATGGGAGAACTCGCTTATTCAGTGTCTAAAAAAATATTGTTTAGTGAATATGTCATTCCTCCCAATGGTTTATCGCCTTATCGTGGCTGGGAGGTGTTCCTAGGTGTCGGGCTGCGATTTACAGCGGAGTGATTCATTCCCGGGGCAGGGTCTCCCAAGCTGAGAAGGAGTCCGGAGTTTTCATTAGGAAGTCCAGTTAAGAGTAAAACAATACGAGGATCCGTCACCGTCCTGGTACCAGACTAGTCGAGTGGTGTCAAATCTCCTTCTGATACATATCGACGGTGACTGTTTATGGTGACGACGACGTGGGACAGACTATGGCCTGGCTGACCTTGGGACTCCAATGAACCACAATTGCTAAATCAGCAAAATTCCGAAAAGATGGAGATTATGCTGGAATCCGCACAACCAGTGAGGACGGGCCATCCAAGTATCGAACTAAGCACATAAATGATTATATAGGGTTATAAATGCGAAAATTTATTTATCTATTTACACATATGCATGGTGTATGTAGTGAGTAATGATCAAAGAGTAACAATAATAAACCCAAAGGTGAAATTCTGAAGGCAAGGTAAATTCTCGAGAAAACTAGCTGCTCAAAAAGGTCCTGGAATGCATTAAGGGGTAAAGGGGTGAAAAGTTGGGAATTGATCAATCCCTTAATGATATGCTATATATTCAACTTCATCAGTCATTGTCGATATGACTGTCGAAGAAGTCCTCCAATAGGCCAAATCAGTGTCTAACTTCCTAGGCAAGTCTGCCGGACACCGAGAGAGAACTTAAGTAGCTCGGGAGCGGAATCGAAGCAGCGCAACGTGTGCATTGTAGGGTAACTCTAAGCATTACACGAACTCCGAGATAAAATCGACTTTTTCCTCTATGAAGTAGAGTGAATGAAATTCGTATCCTGTTTATATCAGCTATTGCTTTCGAATTTGAGACGTCTGCAATGTTTAAAAATGTGGGTACTGTCATTCTGTTCCAGTTGACGAATGATACAGTCTTCAGCTTATCTAATGTTGCTTTCGATAAGCTTCTGCAACAGATTGCTCTACTTTATGATGACCCAAGCCATACACCCTTGAAATATGTAGATGAGTATCGACCAGTGCGGTATGGAACAAAACTCATTTTCTCGGGGATGCTACCGAACCTAAGAACTATTCCGACTTGTCTATGCAGATGCCCAGGAAATAGCAAAACGCCACGGTGGACCTTATCTCTAAAACTGTATAGATGCACCATTTTATAACTCTAATTCGTGTTCGTCGAGCGGCCAGAGTCGTTCGACCAGATCTTAAGCGTGATGGAAGCAAATGGAGTTTGTTTCAGTCCGACCGAACGAACTGACAGTTAGCAGGAATACAAGTGATGAAATGTGCGCTGTGACGCATAGCTATAAACAAAACATGTCCTGTTTTTTCTCGTTTCTAGAATCTTCGGTGACCGCGCTTTATGCGTCATACAGTTATCAGTACTTCTTCTTTCTTTAAACTTAAATTATTGAAATTGGATACGTTCTTGTGCGGATTAGATCGTGACCAGAGAATCCGGGATTTAATCCCTCCACTGTTTGCGTTGATGGTCGAGCATGATGCTCACTGCAATCCCGAGCTAGTTTGCTAGAACGTTCTAAGGCTTTCACCTCACACAGTAATTGGCTAGTGTGGATCGAGAAGAAATTTACACTTGCAGTTCTTCGACTTCGATTCTTCTCAAAAAAATTACGCCTTCATTGTCGAAAATGCTGTGATTGTACTGACGTTGGTCAATCACTGAGAAAAACTCAGAATAGTTTTCTGTACTTGCTTTTTATTCCAAACATTTTTATTGTTTACTGTAGTTTTGAAATATTTTCTGTTGAGAGAAAGATTATCGAGGACCAGTTGAACTTGCCTGCCTCGCAGTATAGACTTTTTAGCATTTTTTTTTGAAATTTTAAATGAACTAAGGTTTACTGCATGTTTTTTCCAAGCTCATAATCAGTACGTGATTTTATCTCGGCTTCCAAACGAATCCGATTCACGTTTAAAGTTTTTCTTAGGCTAATCTGAAAATATGACTACAGATTCGATTTTAACCCACTCCGACCCTGCTACCACGTTTCATGGTTGGCCCAATGCACAACGTGCAATTTTTCGTCTGCCGCCAACATTCTGGCTTTTTAAGAACAAAAATTCAACAATTGTTTTTTGAACATAACAGTGTTGTAGGGGATTCCTTGCTCTACCCATTTATGGGCACAGGTGAGTGATAATTGCGCCGCTATGTGTTACTCGGGCCCATTATGTAAACACATTGCTGTCTGCACTTCGAAGTCTTCAATATGTCGAGTCTATTTCGGCATTTTTGATAGCTACACTGCATAAAATAGCCATAATTCATCACAAAACCTAAGGTAAGTCGCAGTTGATTGTTAATCAAATTAGCTGTCAGGGAACTTCCTAAAAAGAAGTTGTTGCTAAATCGTTGAGTGTAACGAAATGCTTCTCCAGACTTACTCCTACTATTTCTCTTTATTCTTCTTGAGCAACAGCGAGATTTTACTTTATTCCTTACTTCTACAGAGCTGACGTTTCGGCGGATTTCGCTTTCTTCAGAGCCTGGAAAGGTTAAGTTGACTGCAATCTACACAACCGAATGCCTCCATAACCAAACAAAGAGAATTCTATACCAAAATTTCAAACACATTGAACACTGAATAGCTTCCTCGCACATTCACTACTTTCTATGAGTCTTCCACTGAGTATTTCACTTAGAAACTAACCACACAAAGCCCACACCAAAGCATAATATACCTCTCACATTAAAATGCCATTCTTGAATGACATCAAGTGTGATGTCAAGCGTGATTATGAGGTATCCCTCCATGTGCTCTATTTTCGGATTCTTCGAATTTATCCGGAATCGATAGTCCGCAGTTTTTCGTTCCCTCGATGTGGCGTCTTCGTAGTCGTATCGAGACGGATCTTCTTTAGCGGAACATTACACGAATGAGGCATCTTTTGCTCACTGCTCACCCGGCAGAGCTCTTTTATAGAGAATGGTTGTTACTGGTACGACAACCGGCATTGCGACTAGCAAAATAATAATTTTTGAACCGGTCCTCGCTTAGCCCCGGTAGCAAAATACTCAAATTTTTAAAATTCTTGAGCTTACGCGAGGTTGATAAATTTGTTTTATTTGGCAAACGTTTCGACTTCTTCGCCCTGATCAGAGTCGATGATTCCAGGCTATGTTCCGCTGTTTTTTCCGTTTCTCGATGTGGTGTCCTCCAGAACGCCTCGAAAGTTTCCCACGCTGCTGTTTTCGATTCCTGGACTAGGATGATAATTTCTACTTTAAAATGTTTCCCGTTGGACTATCCACTAGTGATAAGGGTGAAGAATTTGCATCAGCACCTGATCAGTTAGGTGCTGAGAAAACGCATCGTGAAGATGCTTCCATTTATCGCAATCTTCTGAGAAGGAATTCAAAAGTCAGCACCGAAAGTGAGCAATGAATTAATCAAAATGGCAAGAGCTACTGGTTAAAGACCATCAGTTCTTTTTCAACTCAAATCACATTTACCAACATGTCTTGTCTTATCCTTACTTATCAGAAGTAATAAGTTAGTGTCTATCGATTTATCGCTATTCAAGATTAGACTTGTCATCTGTCATCTGTTTAGACGGGCTAACCGAAAAAATAGCGTAGTTTTAACCAAATCAGCTGTTAAAACAAATACCATTCAATTTTATGAACACATAAATGTTTCTGGATCGTCCACCGAACGCGCGTCCTAGTCGGTCATACGTGATGTAGTCCTTTGACGTTACCGCACGTTATACGAAAGCGTTGAATAACACCGCTTTTAAAGCCAACCTGAAACT